GCAGTCAATTCCCGTTGTTGAAAACAGATGCATCTTCCTGAAGAAAATGGCCACGTTCATCGGTTTGCTATAAATAGTAACGAGTGTTTGTTGCCACCTTTCGTGGGACGATCGGTCGATTGGTCGGTTGGATGGCTGGCGCGCTGTCATGCGCGCGATTAATAACTGTTGACGTCGCTTCTTTCGTTTCGATTTTGGAATTTAGGCGCGGACATCGCACAGGAATTTGCTTCGTTCTTTTTGAATTTTCTTTCGAATCTTGTCGAGCCCCGATGGCTCTCGAAATTTCGGAGTTTGTGCTTTTTGTTTTTTCCGCATTAGATAGGAATTTAGGAATTTTGTAATTAGGAATTTCTTCTGGGCCGCACGACGCTTTTTGCTTACGTGCTTCTTCATGCGGCTGCAACGGAACTCTGATTAGTCGGCGCCTTTAATCGTGTGTGTAACTGTAATTTTGGGCGGGCGCCATTGTAACTGTATCTTTCTTCTTGTGTTTCGCCTTTCCCGCCCTTCTTCTCCTTCTTTTCGCTGTGTTTTGGTAGCCAGGGTCTGCATGATCGGATCGATGCGTGGAGAGCGGCTACGTCCCCCACGTCGCGGCCCAGTCATGCAAAACGCAGGCGCTCCCTCTCTAATCTTCTTTCTAAGTCTTTGTAATTCCGTGTTCTTCGCGAATGCATGCACGCTATAAATTCCGGTTGCTTGATTAGTTAGCTCTCTTTACCAGCTAAGTGGGAGTCGGGCGAAGTAAGAGGTGAGTTGAAGTGGGAGTCGGGCGACCCGACGAGCTGGTGCCAAGCACGTGGGGTTGACGCGAGCCACGACGGACTGTGGGCGCAGGCAAACATGACGGGTGCGGAAGGACTAAGCGGGGTGACGACCTCGTGGGTTGGTGCGTGACGACGGATTGTCCGCATCGGAGAGAGAGAGAGAGTAAGAGGGAGCTGAGGTCGATGGACGCGGATTTGCTGTTTCTTTTGGCTTTTCTCCCTCTTTGCTGGTGTATATAAATTTTGATTTCGGATCAGGGCGATTCGCCCGTTTTTGTTTTCGGAATCTTGGCTTGGTTTTCTCTCATCCATACTCTTCTTTGCGATTTCCATCTCGGATATGGTGTGTGAATGGATGAATGGATGTCGTGTCTGTTTGCTTGTCTTTCTGCCTGATTCTTGCCTTTTGCTTACCGTCTTGATGCACTCGTGAATAGGGTAGGAATTTTGTGTAGTCATCAATGTTGTTTCCATTTTTGCTTATCTTCTGCTCGAGCTGTTGTGGTTGTTGCATCTTGCATACTCAGAAATTACGGAATGATTAGGTGATCGGATAATTGGTTGCCCAGAAAACCAGCGAACACCGCGCAAGGGCGCGCGTAGGTGCGATCTGATCTGCGCACTTACACGAGTCCCCGCGCGTCGATTCGCAAACTTAACGATTACGGGGATATTGCCAGATTGGATGTGGCCCTTCTGCATCAGCAAAGAAACAATCATCCCGTGTGAACACGTGTAAGCGCGACTCGCGCAGCCTACACGTATTCACAAGCGGTGATCGCAATCGATGAGGACACGTCCTTAGGACTTTTGTGGCTCTACGATGACATAATGACGCGCTCCGGGAGCTCAGATTCGTCGTACGACCCGGAGTACTTCACCCGTTGGATTGAGGAGTGCCTCGGACAGAGGTTCCCCTGCCTAACTGAAAACCGACTGTGTCCTAGGGAGTTCCAGTGTGCCACAACCAGGATCCAAGGTGTTCTGATTTCCCCACCGTGGACCACACTCACTACTTTATTTCCCCCGGCTTTGTCATTATCTGCACTAACTTCCCTCCCTTCCGTCTTCTTCTCCCGTATCACCAACTCAGGGTCATCCAGTGGAAAGCCATAGCCCCCTACTGGCCCAGCACACCCTGCGGAAATTGCCGACAACGCGGCAACCAGAGAGCCTCGGGACTGCGAGGGCCCAACCAGAATGTACGACGAGCGGCGCCACGTGGCGACAACCGACAACCGGACTCATCGGGATCACACCCACCCCGAAGGGATCTTCCGATGAACCGCCGTCCTCAACACAGATAGATCGCACGACCATAAATGACCCGCGCATGCAATCTGCCTTATGACCAGAAGTGGTCCGCCCTCTCTACCAAATTGCACTCGTGCCCCCGAA